AAAAAATAAGTTTACCTGATATTTTACTAATCCCTTCTCCTCCACGTGGTTATTTGTCGTTCCTTGAAAGTTTATAATCGAAACGAAACTCTTAAAATATTATAGGCCTATGAGAAGTGGCTTGATAATAAAAATTAAAAATTAATTAAAAATTAAAAAATAAGCTTAAAAGTCTATAACAATACAACAATGTTATTCATTTAAACTTACATATGCTATATCAAATTGGCAATTATTATGGAGAGAAATGATTTAATTATAATAATTAATCGAAGTTTAGAATAGTGTTTTCTATCGACATGTTAAGATGGTTGTCATTTTTGTTTATTGTCAACGTGTTTTTTGATAATATTCAACGTTTTATTTTTGTTTTTAATTTTTTTTAAATCAATTTGATGCACAAAATAATTATACAAATACAACGAAATATGAATATAAACCGAAAAAAATAATCAGTTTCACTTATTGTAAAATAATTTTTGTGTTTGCAAATTAGTTACATTTTTTTTTTTAAATTTGTGTGAATAAAATAAAATAGATAGAATGGGCGAATAATAGAATAAATCAAATTTCTATTTACATTTCTTTTTTTTTAATCGCTTATCTTTTAATTACTATCAGTGATAAATTATTTTTATATATATTTTTACATAAGTTGTATTAATTTGTATACTAATACAAAGTTGAGTAACTATGGATTGTTAAAAAAAATTAAAGGAGGCGTAACATTATTTTTTTAAAAAAGGTTGGAAACAAAGAGTTAAGGTTTAGGCTAGTCTCAATTCAAAAAACTATCTTAGCACCCCTATATATACATATAATTACCTGAGAGGGTTAATGACACCAAGATTATCTTTAGAATTCGAAAAAATAATTTCATAGGCCTCTAATATTTTAAGGGGTTCATTTTAATTATCAGCGAGAAAATCAAAAGAGTTCTGTAAAAATATATATTTTTCTGGTTGGCGAAAGTAAATAATCGTAGCTGAAATCTGACTACGTTTGGAAGACCAAAAAGTTTTAGATTTTAAAATGAATTCAATGTCAATAATTAAGCATATCTGATCAGATATATATCATATATATATATATATATATATATATAATATATATATATATATATATATATATATATAAAGCAGCACTTTCAAAATTACTTCTAAAAGAAAAGATTAATTAATAAGTTTATTAGGGCTGTGTATTTGTGCTGCTGCATATATATATAATATATATATATATATATATATATTTCTAACATGTATATAAGATTATACAATATATGATTTAAACTCGAATTAATAATTAGCTTATGTTAGAATTTTGTTCTTGAATTTAATAAAGATATATTGCCTTTAAGAAAATGAATTTAATTTATTATATTTTTATTATATTTGTTTTGTTTAATGAAATAAATAAAATAAATTTAAGGGATTAATTAACAAAACGTGCAAATTTAGAACCAGATCTAATTATTTTTCAAGGAAAAATAATTGTGTGGGCAAAGTGATATATTTTACTTCAAATAATAAAATATTGTATAAAAATATTAGGCAAATAAGGTGACTAATATATGGAAATAGTGATTTATCAACAGGTAAGATTGGAAATATTAGTTTTATAATATAATATAATAAAAAATTACTGAATATTTTCAATATATTTTTATTTAGGTTAATAAGGTAAAATAATTAAAATTCTCTCCTATGGCCAGATGGTGGATATAACTATATAACCTATATAACTTAAATAAAGAGTATTTAGTACACAAATCGATCAATTCGTAAAAAATAATATATAATTTTTTATATATACGTTTCGTCACTTAATATGCGCGATAATATTTGAATTTACCGATTCAATTTACTGTTTCACGTGTTATTAGATAATTTGCCAAAAATATTTGGTTTGATCTGATTTGTCTGATGTATTTTTTTTTTGTAAATCTGTGATAAATAGAAAATTAAGACTAATA